TGGTCTTTTTGAATTTCATGCAGTTGGCCTTGGCCCATCATTCCAGTCTGTCCAGGTCCCTCTGTAGAGCCTCCCGACCCTCAGGCAGATCAACATTACCTCCCAATTTAGTGTCATTTGCAAACTTGCTGAGGGTGCACTCGATCCCCTCATCCAGATCATTGATAAAGACGTTAAAGAGAACAGGCCCCAACACTGAGCCCTGTGGAACACCACTGGTGACTGGCCACCAGCTGGATTTAACTCCGTTCACCACCACTCTCTGGGCCCAGCTGTCCAGCCAGTTTTTGATCCAGCAAAGTGTACACCCGTCCAAGCCACAGGCAGCCAGCTTCTGCAGAAGAATGTTATGGGAAACATCCCAGCAAGGCCATTAGATCCCACCTGGGAACATGTGCTTAGGGCTCAGCTCTTTGCTCCCCGTTTTCTGAGCTGGCAAAAGGCAAGAAATCTCTCCTCATGTGGCAGACTCAGGTAGGGAACTCGTTCTCCACGCCGTAACCAGACACGCAATCCCTGCTCACAAAGAGCAGTGATGACACATGATGGACATGCAAGGAAACAGTGCTCAGCCTCCATCTTCCAAGCAGCTTCCACAGACAAATGCTGTTGGCTTACCGGTGTGAGGATCTGTAGCTCCCAAGCGAGCTGCCACTCACACCTTTTCCAAGCACTTGCTCTTTAACAGAGTTTGTTGCAGGCTCAAAGTGCTGCAAAAACTGGGGCTTGGGATGGAGTGAGGGAAGACCCCTTCCCACTCCCCTTCCTTGCAGCAGAACCGGCAGTGACACCCGAGATGCTGCCTGGCACCAGCCTGGCTGGCAAGGAATGGTAAAGCAAACCCCTGCCCGTATTGCATCGCTCCTCTTCCTTCTGTACGAGGGTCCATGGGGGTCCTCCCTGCCGAGAGGGCCAGGAGCTAAAGGACGGGTTAGAGCTGGCAGCGCTTATCCCTCGAGGCACGGCTGTTCCCGTCCGGAGAGCCTGAGTCAGAAAGATTTTGGATCCCGTGGAGCTCAGGATATGTTATGCCCTATGCAAGGCTCTAAAACTCGCTCCTCTGGAAACATGTAGTTTGTTGGTGCCAGTCCCAGCTGCCCCAGACCACTGGGCTGCAGAAGGACGAGGAGGGGAAGCCAGTTGGCTCATGACAAATCCCACATGCCTGTGGCTCACCTGTGGTCACTGGGGAAAATGGAGGAAACTGGGGTTCAGCTTAAGGCATTTCTTACTGTTCGGGTCTCTCCTGGCAAGGCAGGGATCATCTTCTGGATGGATCTGGAGCTCAGAGGGGATTCTCATGGGGCAGGAGGCACTGGAAGCATCACAGGCACCAGTAAAACTCCAGTCTCTTTCTGTGCATCACCAGTGTGACACAGATCTGAAGTAAATGCAGGAGCATCTCACTGGAGGCAGGAGACATGCGATAAACCTCAGTTTACAGCACTCTAGAGCATATATTTTCCAAAATCACCATCCTACATGGTTTTCATCTTCCTGGCTTTTTTCTTCTCTTCTCGCCAGCACCAGGCACACAGAGGCAACCTCAATCCACAAACCCAGCTGTTGAAGCCTGGCTCACTGCATTGTCCAGAGGTGGAGACAAGGAGTGCTGGCAAGGATGGCAGGAGTGCCAGGCTCACCGAGCTCTGCTCTAGCCCCAGCGTGAGTCACTTCTCAGCGTGGCTCAACTCTGCTCACTGCACGGCCTCCCGGGATGTGGGTATCGAATTCTCGGGAGCAGGATAATACCCAGACAGGGCAGGAGGGAGGCTGGGCAGCCTCAGGCAGTGCCCCAGGCGGAGGGACCATCCCCTGCAGACTGGGGAGGGGATGCTTTTGTGCAGCTGAAGCTGGCGAAGTTTCAATACAAACATATATCCCCCTCTCAATTGTTGTCAGACTGGTTTGAGTGTAAGAAAATCTCTCAGCCAAACAAAACGGCATATCCCGTTATTGTTCTTTCACTTTACACTTGATGTGAGCAAATAACTGTGCCCAGGAGCTCTGTCCCTGCAGCCCCACCTCCCGTCCCCACCAAAGCTGCACGCGCACGCGAGCAGCGGAGTGAGTGGGGAGGGAATGAGCCAGAGCAGCCGGGCTCACGGCACCCTGCAGCACCCTAAACCCTGCACAGCAGCTCAGCCATCCCAGCAAACCCCACCACGAGCGCCCGACGGCTCTCATCACTGCCTGACACTCCTGCCCCTCTTCTTCTGTTTAGCACGAGGGGCTCTGGAGCACTGACCTATCTTCAACGTGTGTTTCACGGCCTCACGCAAACAAGGCCTGGCCCAGACTAGGAGCGTTCAAGCAGCACGGCAGGGGTGCGAGCGG